AGGGAGAAGAAGAGAAGGAGAGAGGGTAGGAAGGGGAAGAGGAAGAATAGGAGTAGAGGGAAGGGAAGAATGAAGGGGAGGGAGAGGAGGAAAGAAGGGAGAAGAAGAGAAGGAGAGAGGGTAGGAAGGGGAAGAGGAAGAATAGGAGTAGAGGGAAGGGAAGAAGGAAGGGGAAGGAGAGGAGGAAGGAAGGGAGAAGAAGAGAAGGAGAGAGGGTAGGAAGGGGAAGAGGAAGAGGAGGAGTGGGAGAAAGGGAAGGGAAGAAGGGAGAGAAAGGAAAGGAGGAAGGAAGGGTGAAGAAGAGAAGGAGAGGGGGTAGGAAGGGGAAGAGGAAGAGTAGGAATAGAGGAAAGGGAAGAATGAAGGGGAAGGAGAGGAGGAAGGAAGGGAGAAGAAGAGAAGGAGAGAGGGTAGGAAGGGGAAGAGGAAGAATAGGAGTAGAGGGAAGGGAAGAAGGAAGGGGAAGGAGAGGAGGAAGGAAGGGAGAAGAAGAGAAGGAGAGAGGGTAGGAAGGGGAAGAGGAAGAATAGGAGTAGAGGGAAGGGAAGAAGGAAGGGGAAGGAGAGGAGGAAGGAAAGAAGGGAGAGGAAGAGAAGGAGAGAGTGTAGGAAGGGGAAGAGGAAGAGCAGAAGTATGAGAAAGGGAAGAAGAAGGAAGGAGAAAGAGAGGAGGAAGAAAGGGAGAAGAAGAGAAGAAGAGAGGTAGGAAGGGAAAGAGGAAGACTAGGAGTAGCAGAAAGGGAAGAAGGAAGGGGAAGGAGAGGAAGAAGGAAAAAAGCCGAGAAGGGAGGGAGGGAGAAAAGAAAGAGAAAATAATGTGGTTTTACAACAGGTGGAAGGGATGGTAAATAAAGCAACCCAAACTGTATATTATAACCTACTAAATGAAATAATAAACGTATAAGAATGACAAACGTAAAGAAGAATTAGGCGGAACGTATCCTTAAAATGGTATGTAAGAGATCAAAAAAAATATTTCTTTTTCTGGAAAAAACAAAGAAGCAGGAGAATTTATTCAATCTCCGATCAGTGACTGTCCAGTCCCTTTTTTTTATTATTTTTAAAGGATAATAAATACCTTTAGCCAGAAAAAATCAAGAAAAAATAACCCGTATTTTCTATCCAGCTAGGATAGGAAATTCCGGCTCTTTTTCGTTTTTTGGTTTTCCCAAGAAAAACCTCCCAGCGATTCGGGATGAAATGGGAAAATCGCCCTGCAGTTTCCCAAAACTTCCTCCCCCCCCCTCCCACCAGTAGCTTGACCTGGCTCGGGATAGACAGTGCTGGGCTATGGAAGATCCGCGTTGAGAAGGACACCTCCCGTTGCCGGTGCTCGGACTTTAATCCAAGCGATTAGGTGCGGATAAAGTGCAAAGCGGTGATTTTTTTTAATGCGCTGGCATAACCGATCGGAGGTTCTTTGCTGTGTATCCTGGTCTGACTCGAACCGTGGTTTAAATCCGGGTTGTCGGCACGGCACCGCGAAACCTCGAGTAGTGAGTTGGGCGGGCGTATAAATTTAATAAACGATTTCCAAGAAATCGAACTTCCTCGGGATAATCCACGGGTGCCACTTCTTATTTTTTTCCCCCTCTTAATGATTGATTTCCTGGCGTCTCCTCCCAAGAATATTACACGTTATAAGTACCGTAATAATCTTTATTATTATAAAACGGTGTGATAAATTTTATAATATCCTCCCTCTACCGAATGAATAGCAATAGCAATAGCAGTAGACTTATATACCGCTTCATAGGGCTTTCAGCCCTCT